CAGTACTTGTGTATAGAAATGCTTCTACAATCTCCTTGGAAATAGAGTTCAATAACCATGAAGTAATCATGTAGTTAACTCTCAGCCATTTCTCATAATTTGGCGAAGTCTTCTCAGGTGTTCCAATACTCCCATCAATCAGCCCTAACTTCATCTTCGCTCCTAGTGCGATTTTAACAGATCTACTCCAGGCCAAAAAATTCTTACCAGTCAAAGGCGCCGTCACCAACGTCATTCATGGATGATCTGAACTATGAAGAAACAGCGGGTCTGAAGTATTAAGGTCGCCCTGCCTTTCAATTCCTTGAATCGTCTGGTTGTTTCTCAGCTCAGTAGGGAACAAATCCACATTCTGATTCCCCGCCATTGCAGCTCAGTACTGAGCTTATCCTCCTCTTTCTTCAATGGATAAGTGGCTTTCAGATCTGAAATTCCAGAATCCACTGCTCTGATACCATGTTCGATTAATTGGAATCAACAATTTTATTCCATTACCAACATACCAACGGTACAGCGATGGAGGTCTATATATAGACCCAGGGAAAGAGGAAAAAAAATCAAAACAACAGAAACGGAACTAGAACTAACTATACTTATTACAAAGAAGGACCTAAGCTATTTAATGAAGAACAATTAAGTCCTAAGCTATTTAAAGAAGAACAATTAAGTCCTTTGAATAATATCCACATAGTATGAATTTGATTGCTATATACATGTGTTTTCTTTTATCAATGGGTAATTGGCACAAAACGTCCGTTTTTATTTGCTATCATTGCACAAGCCTTCTCTATAGTTTAACTTTTGACATTTAGACTCTCAAATCGGAATTTCTTTGTGTAAATCACACATGTTGTCTCATTCCATTCGTTGGCTCTGTCAAATAGTTGCACGCAGTTCACTTGTGTGATTTGCTTAGTGACATTTTGGTCAACATACTAATTGACCATCTTTTTCCACCTAATCCTAGTTATTCTGAAATGATAATTCTATGTGAGCGCTCGCGAGTGTGTA